AGGAACCCGCAGCCACTCTGGAACACGTCGGCCCCCGGGGATGCCTGAGGCCGCCGTGAGACAGCGGCAGAGAACCCCGGGCCAGGGTTTCCCAAGGGGGCGCGTGATTTTGGGCACCCACCTTGAGTCACCTTAAAGGTCCTGATTTTTGAGGGCAGGTGCTCAACACTCCCTGGAGATCAGGCCCCTTTCAGGTGTCTTAAGCCAGGCCCCCAAATCAGGCGTCAAACTCCTTGGCCTGGGTCCGGTCAGTCTAGTCCAGTGCCCTGCCAGGGAGAACACGCCTGGCCCCGCCTCAGCTGGGCCTGCGGCCGCACCGTCTCCTCTCGCCCCCTTCCCGCCACGCTGCCAGGGCTCTGGGAAGGGCCCCCGTGCGGACGCGAGCCAGGCCTGAGCCGGCAGGGGCTGGAACCCCCCCGCGCCCAGCCTGGTGAGCGTCCAGCCCCACGCCCAGCCCCATGCCCAGCCTGGTGAGCGCCCAGCCCCATGCCAGCCCCACGCCCAGCCTGGTGAGCGTCCAGCCCCACGCCCAGCCCCATGCCCAGCCTGGTGAGCGCCCAGCCCCATGCCAGCCCCACGCCCAGCCTGGTGAGCGTCCAGCCCCACGCCCAGCCCCATGCCCAGCCTGGTGAGCGCCCAGCCCCATGCCAGCCCCACGCCCAGCCTGGTGAGCGTCCAGCCCCACGCCCAGCCCCATGCCCAGCCTGGTGAGCGCCCAGCCCCATGCCAGCCCCACGCCCAGCCTGGTGAGCGTCCAGCCCCACGCCCAGCCCCATGCCCAGCCTGGTGAGCGCCCAGCCCCATGCCAGCCCCACGCCCAGCCTGGTGAGCGTCCAGCCCCACGCCCAGCCCCATGCCCAGCCTGGTGAGCGCCCAGCCCCATGCCAGCCCCACGCCCAGCCTGGTGAGCGTCCAGCCCCACGCCCAGCCCCATGCCCAGCCTGGTGAGCGCCCAGCCCCATGCCAGCCCCACGCCCAGCCTGGTGAGCGTCCAGCCCCACGCCCAGCCCCATGCCCAGCCTGGTGAGCGCCCAGCCCCATGCCAGCCCCACGCCCAGCCTGGTGAGCGTCCAGCCCCACGCCCAGCCCCATGCCCAGCCTGGTGAGCGCCCAGCCCCATGCCAGCCCCACGCCCAGCCTGGTGAGCGTCCAGCCCCACGCCCAGCCCCATGCCCAGCCTGGTGAGCGCCCAGCCCCATGCCAGCCCCACGCCCAGCCTGGTGAGCGTCCAGCCCCACGCCCAGCCCCATGCCCAGCCTGGTGAGCGCCCAGCCCCATGCCAGCCCCACGCCCAGCCTGGTGAGCGTCCAGCCCCACGCCCAGCCCCATGCCCAGCCTGGTGAGCGCCCAGCCCCATGCCAGCCCCACGCCCAGCCTGGTGAGCGTCCAGCCCCACGCCCAGCCCCATGCCCAGCCTGGTGAGCGCCCAGCCCCATGCCAGCCCCACGCCCAGCCTGGTGAGCGTCCAGCCCCACGCCCAGCCCCATGCCCAGCCTGGTGAGCGCCCAGCCCCATGCCAGCCCCACGCCCAGCCTGGTGAGCGTCCAGCCCCACGCCCAGCCCCATGCCCAGCCTGGTGAGCGCCCAGCCCCATGCCAGCCCCACGCCCAGCCTGGTGAGCGTCCAGCCCCACGCCCAGCCCCATGCCCAGCCTGGTGAGCGCCCAGCCCCATGCCAGCCCCACGCCCAGCCTGGTGAGCGTCCAGCCCCACGCCCAGCCCCATGCCCAGCCTGGTGAGCGCCCAGCCCCATGCCAGCCCCACGCCCAGCCTGGTGAGCGGGGCAGCGAGCTAATGGCAAGGTCTCTTTCCTCATTTGCAGCTCTTGCGACGCCGACCCTGCCAGCGCACCCCTCTGTCAGCGTGAGTCCGGAGCACTGTCTTCTTCCCGCCCCGGCGTCTCATGGCCCCTGCCCCTCCGGGGCAGCCCTGCCCTGGGGCCTTTCCCGCCCGGGGCAGGGGGCGGGAACAGCCACCGCTGGAGATGGAAACGGGCCTGTGATGTGGGCAGCCCAGCCCAGCCCCGGGCCGGCCTGCCGGGCAGAGGCTGGGGAGGCGCCCGAGCTGCCTTTGGCCCAGCCTTCGTGCCCTTTCTGGGCCCCTGCTTCTCCGCCTTGCTGACGGCCAAGTGTGGGGGGGTCTGAACTCCGCAAGGGGGCCCAGGGAGGCGCCACCCGGCTCCTCTGGGCAGGCTTGGGCCGCTAGGGAAGGGTGATGCATGGGGGTGCGCCCCGCTCTCCGGCCACCTCCTCCCGCTTTTGTGCCTGAGAAGCCGCCTGGGCCTACCCGCTCCCCAGCCCTCGGCTTCTCCGCCTTGCTGACGGCCAAGTGTGGGGGGGTCTGAACTCCGCAAGGGGGCCCAGGGAGGCGCCACCCGGCTCCTCTGGGCAGGCTTGGGCCGCTAGGGAAGGGTGATGCATGGGGGTGCGCCCCGCTCTCCGGCCACCTCCTCCCGCTTTTGTGCCTGAGAAGCCGCCTGGGCCTACCCGCTCCCCAGCCCTCGGAGCGGGATCGATCGATTCCCGGGCAGAGCCGGGCCGCAGGGCGGCAGCAGCGCCTCTCCCAGGAGGCGGCTCCCAGGCTGGCTGCAGCCGACCTGCTCTGGGGCGCAGGCAAGTCCTGGGTGGAGAAGAAAGCGCGAGCGTGTGGGGTGCAAGGGCCAGCCAGGCCCCGGGGTCAATGGGAAGACTGGTTCTGGGGGTCCCAGCCCCCCACCCCGGTCGCTTCCCTCACGTTGCACAAAATGAGACATCGACTTTCACACTGTTCCTGTCACAGGCCCAGCGACGCCTGGGAGCGCTGAACGCAGACGGGTACACCCCGGAGCCCATAGGTGAGTGTCCCGGCAGATCCGGGCAGGGCCCACAGGCCGGCCATGCTGTGGGCCCGGCCTCGGGACAGCGGGGTGTCCCAGCACGGCCAGCACGCTCGCCCCGCCTTGCGGCTCACAATGGCGCGACACGGCTTTCCTGGCACGCAGGGCACCTGAGGACCGTCCCTGGGCCCTGTCTGCTTTCCAGGGCCCCGCTCCGCCTGCATTAACACTACAAAAGGAGTGCTCCCGGCTCAGCCCAGCCCCCTCCCCTGCTCAGGACCGTCCGTGGGCTCGGACCTGCAAGCTCTCTCCCTGTGCACAGCCTCCTGCACGCCAGCAGTGCACACCAAGGGCGTGGCCAAGGGTGCAAGCCCACCCGCGCCTCCCCCAGGCACAGGTCGGGTGCGGGGGCTGAGGCACTGCCCCTGAGGATCTGGCTGGGCAGTGGGGCTCATCGCCCTCCCACCCAAAGGACACCCAAGAGGGCCCTTCTGGCTACCCCCCGGTGCACAGGTGTGTGGGTGTGACTGGGATCTAGCCCAGGGCAGGGGGAGCGCGACCGCCTCACATCCACCCAGCAGGAGGGGCGGGAAGGGCCAGGCCTGGAACGCCGAGAGAGGAGGCTGGAAGAAGAGCCAGCAGGGGCAGGGGCAGGCCAGGGGCGGCCCCAGGGGACGGGGCAGGGGGCGGGGGAAATCGCGCATCCTGCCCATGGACACCAGCGTCTACGAGAGCCCCTACAGCGACCCGGAGGAGCTGAGGGACAAGAAGCTCTTCCTGAAGAGGGACCATCTGATGATCGACGAGGTGGAGCTGGGCTCAGGGAACTTCGGCTGCGTCCGCAAAGGCGTCTACAAGATGAGGAAGTAAGCGCCGCCGGGGGGAGGGGTGTGCGGCTCAGACTGCGCTGTCGGCACCCCTGGGCCACGCCCGTCCCGGTGCGGGGAGTGGGGGCTGACTCCCGGGCGTCGGGTCGGACCCACCTCCAGTGCAGACGGTGTCACCGGGTCGAGACGAGAGTGTCCGCGCCGATGGGGGTGAGCGTGGGAAAGCCAGTGGTGAAATGAGCACGATGGCGTGCGATGTGCATTAAGAAGGTCAGGTCAGCGCTGGCCACGCGCACACGGACTGCAAATCCCAGCGGTGCTGCTGGCCACGGCCGTTCAGAGGGGGAGCCCCCGTATATAAGGGAGGCACCTTGGTCCGCAAGGCGGGATCGAGAAGGAGGCAGCAGGGGTTCCGTACCCGGCTCTGCTCCTGACTCCCTGGGTGGCCCTGGAAATGATCCCCTGTGCCTCAGTTTACCCACCTGAGAAGTGGCAGTAATGACACCGATCCCGCTTTGTATGGCTCCTCCAGAGCTATCGCTCAGGGCTACGTGGCACGTGGCCTGCGGCCCGTTTGTTTGTGGCCTGCGGTGTGGTTTGGGTTTAGGCGGGGCTCAGCACGCGGCCCACAGGTGGGAGCCAAAACAAAAGAGCAGTCAATATCATGGTCCTCTGCGGAGCTGCGTTCTAGTAGGTCAATTCCTGGACTCTCATTGCTCATGGAAAGCGCTGTCACATGAGAGGAAATCGGGTAAATGTTGCATTTTATTAATATCAGCAGAACTGATTGAAACGGGGCCTGTGTGTGGTGTAGTCTTGCCTTAATCTTTGTATTCAGGCCCGTCAGTGTGAAAGAAGCTATTTGCATAATTTGCATATATATTTGCCTGCATACGCAACCACACTTAAGTTGCGGCCCTCCGCATGTGCTGCGAGTATCATTGTGGCCTCCGGGGCTTCCAGAGTCAGTATCCCTGCTCTAGATGACAGACGCTCTGTGTTGTTACCGTGCTAGAGAGGGGGCTGGAAGAAACCAGCTGCCTCTGCGTGCGCAGTCGGAGAGAACTTTGCTGTCGTTTCGCTAGCTACCTGGAAGAGGGGTCCCCTCGGGGAGCCCTGCAGGAGCCCCCCAGCCCCCCTGCGCTGCTCCGCTATAACCTTGCTTCACAGCCCAGGACCGTAACTGGGAATGAGCCGCCCTCCAGGCATTGTACGTCCTCCTGAGCCCCCGACGGGCGGTGACTCTCCCTCCTCCGCAGCCTGGCTCACCCACGCTTGTCCTCTCGCCCGCTAGGAAGCAGATCGACGTGGCCATCAAGGTGCTGAAGAGCAACAACGAGAAGGCGGTGAAGGACGAGATGATGAAGGAGGCGCAGATCATGCACCAGCTGGACAACCCCTACATCGTCCGCATGATCGGGGTCTGCGAGGCAGAGTCGCTGATGCTGGTCATGGAGATGGCCTCAGGCGGGCCCCTCCACAAGTTCTTGTCGTCCAAGAAGTGAGTGCTCTTTGCGCCGCTCCCAGCTGAACGCTGCTCCCGCCGGGCCCCAGCGAGGGGGGGGAGCCCGGAGCCCTGTCCCATCAGACTCAGGGTATGTCTAGACTGGCAAGTTTTTCCTCAAAAGCAGCTGCTTTTGTGGAAAAACTTGCCCGCTGTCTACACTGGCCGCTTGAATTTCCACAAGAACACTGACTTCCTCCTGTCTGAAATCAGGGCTTCTTGTGGAAACACGATGCTGCTCCCGTTCGGGCAAAAGGGCCAGTGTAGACAGCTCAGATTTGTTTTGCGCAAAAAAGCCCCGATGGCGAAAATGGCGATCGGGGCTTTTTTGCGGAAAAGCGTCCGTGCCAATCTAGACGCACTTTTCCGCAAATACTTTTAATGGAAAACTTTTCAGTTAAAAGCATTTGCGGAAAATCGTTCCAGTCTAGACGTAGCCAGGGTGTGTCTAGACTACATGGCTCCGTCAACGGAGCCATGTCGATGAGTATACTCGGCAAAGGGAAATGAAGCGGCGATTTAAATAATCGCCGCTTCATTTACATCCCAATGGCCGCCGCGCTGCGCTGATCAGCTGATTGTCGGCACAGAGCGACAGTCTAGACGGGGATCAGCTGACCCCAGAATCCTTTGTCGGCAGATCCTTTATGTCTTGTGAAACGAGGTTTTTCCCACTTCCTACTCTCCATGTAGCAGTGAATAGCAAGTGGCCCGTGTCCACAGAGACTGCTCCAAAGGTCTCTATCGCTGTTCTGTAAGGGGTATTGAGAAGCAAGCCTATGCCAGGCTCAGCCTGTTTCCTGGCTCAGCCCCTTTCCACATTTGCTCAGTTTTGTCACTTTTGAGGACTCTGCTTGAGTTGGTGATTCTGTCTCTTTTCTGTTTGGTTTTCTGAGCAGCAATCCCATCCAGCCATGGCCCACTGCCCTGGCCCAGCCAAACTCAGACCTTGCTTTACGTTAGGATCGGAGGAAGCTGCCTGCCAAATTTGGGGGTCCTAGCTCTTCATATTTAGGAGGAGTTTTTGATCCAACAGACACGCTCTCTCCAGTATATAAATGATCGTGTGCTAACATCCTGTCCAGCCACCTGCTTTCTGGGTTCCCTAGCACTGTAAAAATGCTAGTGGACGATACGGCCATGTTCCACACGATGGCTGGCTAGAGGAACTGATCGATAAAGCATTATAGCTACGCACACGCCGCTATGGCCCTCAATTGTGTGTAACCAGAACGATGTCGCTGTGTGTTATACTGCTAGCAGAGATTCTCTTTGACCTTGGTGAGTGGTGCTGGGCGCTATCGTATATAGAGTAGCCCAGTGTCTGTGACTCTGTAACGGTGAAACGCTGGCCGTTCCCTCTGGGGGGCGCTGTTACCTCCCACCGTGGCCCTCGGCTGACTTCTGCGCTGCTCAGCCAGGCTGCTGCATGGGAGCAAGCGGCGCAAGTGACCGTTTGGGCTCGGCACTCCCCCGAGTGAGAGGCAGGGGGAGGAGAAGAGAAAGGGAGAGAGAGAGGCAGGAGGGGGAGAAGAGAGAGAGAGGCAGGAGGCGGAGGAGGGCTGAGAGAGAGAGGGCGGGAGGCAGTAGGAGGAGGAGAGAGAGAGACGTGGAGGAGAAAACCGAAAATCCCGTCTTAGGATGGGCTATTGGCTAGTCATACATATAGTAGCCCAGTGTCTGTGCGTCTGTAACACTGATGTACATGGCCACGCCTCCTGGCCGTGTATGTCAGAGCCCCGCCCCCCTTCCCCTCACTCCGTGGCAGCTCGGGCCGCAGGGCCCCCCGGACACCCTCCCTCCGCCAGCACTGCTTCCCTCCCCCTTTCCTCTGCCCCC